CCAATTATAGATTTTAATTCTGTTTTTACTTTAGCATTTTTGAAAGTTAGTTTTTTTCTGTCTGATGGGAGTGTTTCACATTTTGTTATTGGGTTCTGGCTTTATTTCACTGTGGTAAGAGAATGTCCACATAGGATCTTTCTTTTGCCCTCCAATTTTCTCTCTCTTTTTCTCTGAGTTTTCTTTAACTCTGGATTCCCAGAGTCCAGTCAACCATATCTCTCAGGTAAGGATCCTCACACTATCATTACTAGCTTAATTATCACTGACTTGATTTTCCCCTTCATCTTCCATTTTCTTTCCCCATATAAGGCCCCTACTGAAATGTGCTTAGTAATGTCTTTAAAGATGTTTGTATCTTTGAAAAATGTGTAGTGTGATATATGGGTATTTTAATTTACATAACTGATGTTGTTCTACATACCCCTCCTGTATTTGTTTGTTGAGGAATCTCAATTTGTTAGAGAATCCACATTAGTTTTATTCTTTCAAGTCATTTCCCCCATGAGCCCTATGTCAAATTTTTCTTTCTTCTCTATTTTGGGAGGAGCCCATAATTTTCAGTAACTTTCAGTTAGTAAATGCCTTGTCCTATTATAAGCCTCAATTTAAAAATCAGTTTGATTTAAACTTTACCAAGTCCACTCGTCCTCCCTGGAATTTTGTTATGGTGGAGTCCAAATTAATTTTTCTCTGTCAGTTTCCCTACCACCTACAACAGAGACCGCCTTTTCCACAGTCATGACACTTTCTGGAGCATGTGCCAAGTTTCCTCACTTGCAGGCATCTGGCTGGCTCTCCATTACCCCAGTGGTCTATTTTTCTGTTTCTATGCTAGTGCCATAGTTTGTACAATTATAGCTTTGAAATATATCTAACTCTGCTTAGATATATCTCCAGTCCCCAGCCTCTCCAGTTTGCTCTTTTTTTTTCTCAAACTTGTCATAGAATTCATGGCCTTTATCCTTTAATATTAGTTCTGAATCAGAGTGTCAAGGTCCTGAAAAAATCCTGGTAGCATTGTATTTGGAATTGTTTGAATGTTAGAGGTCAACGCAAGAACTGACATTGTCACAATATTTTGACTGTTTTACTCTCTAATGAATAGAGATAAAAGATGTTTATAAAATGTGTTTGGAGAACAAAGAATAACATAGTCAATACCCATACCTTCACCACCAAGCCTACAAAATAGTGCATCACTAGAAACTTTGAGGTTCTCATGTGATGATTTCTGAATATCAGACTGTGAATGCTCTGATGCTGCTTTTGTTTTTTTCTGCTAGCTGGCATTTGTTCTTGGTGCCTCAACTTCCCTGTGTGCGGGGTGATGTTTTAAGAGTGATGACATGCTTTTTAGAGTGTTCTTCATGGGAGTTTGCTGAAGCATGGCTTGAAAAGTGAGGTCCTTCAGGCAGAATCTATATTTGCTTCTGCCAGGTACCAGGGCATAAAGAAGGTACCAGGACAAAACCAAGAACTGCTTTAAATGATGTTCTTGGCTCAATTTTTTAAAATCACCCAGACAGCGTGAATTTGAATTACAGGTTCACATGAGGGCAGGTGTTTCCAGTTTATCCTCACGCAGAAGGTGTGGTCCTTTTTGGCAGGAATAACTCTTTGCAGGAGGTTTCCTCTTGGGCTCCCTGTCTTGAGCAGGCCCTGGGTTTTGCATTTTGTCTTTTGCCCCCGTGAATGAGGCTGTGAAAACCAAAGCTCAGTTTCACTGGGTTTGGCCCATGGCCTTGGGGCAAAAAGTCATCTTCTGGGCTTTGCTGTGAGCTCTCTGGGTTTCAGCCCTCCCTTGTGTTTTGCAGTCTGAGGAGTCTATTTTCTTGCCAGCTCACCCATGCATTTAAAATGATAATTAAAAAAAACCTCAAATGTTATCTTCAGCAAGGTGGGATAGGGGATCTAGCCTTCCATGCTGCAGGAAGCCAGATGCTCAGAATTGACAGTTTTACATTGTTTTAAATTGCCTCACATAAGAACAACAGCATATCTATACATTAATGTAGGTCTTCCTTTATCTTATTAAGTATGATTTTGTTATTTTTCCTTACATATCTTATACACTCTTCATTAGATTATATCTTATAAATCTTGGTTTGCTGCTGCTGCTAAGTTGCTTCAGTCGTGTCCGACTCTGTGCAACCCCATAAACGGTAGCCCACCAGGCTCCTCTGTGCCTGGGATTCTCCAGGCAAGAATATTGGAGTGGGTTGCCATTTCCTTCTCCAATGCATGAAAGTGAAAAGTGAAAGCGAGGTCGCTCAGTCGTGTCCAACTCTTAGTGACCCCATGGACTGTAGCCTACCAGGCTCCTCCGTCCATGGGATTCTCCAGGCAAGAGTACTGGAGTACTGGAGTGGGTTGCCATTTCCTTCCATTTCCTTCTCCAAATCTTGGTTTACATTACAATAAAATATATATGTATACATATAGGGAGGGAGGGAGAGCATGGGCTATTTTTCTTATTTATAAAACTTTTCAACAATACTGAAGAGTGTAAGATAGTTTAAAAAATCATAAACCCATCATCAGAAATAAAAGCTGTTACCTTTTGATGTTTGCTGTTGTAAACATTATTCTTACATTTGCCTCTGCTTTGCATGAAAAGAGAGGGGGCAGATTTGCATTTCAAGTAGTTCATTATGCCAGCAGGATGGTAGGAAAGGAGAAAGTCAAGGGTAACACCTTGGAGGCCCACCACAATTTAGAGAGCGGGCAGAGGAGGGGACCGGGGAGTTGTGGTCGGAGGGTTAGCAGGGGAGTGAAGAGAGGCCAGTGTGATCCTGAGCTCAGGCCCCAGAACAGGGCTCCCGTGTCACAGGGCAGGCTCTGAGCTATGCCTCAGTATCAGGGACAGCATGGGCCTAATGCAGCTCGTGTTAGGGACATGGCCTGGGAAGGCGGAAGTTTATCTGTTCAGGACCTGCAAGGAGGCCCTCCTGCTGCCTCTCTTATGCTGCCCTTGCTCCCCTCCACAGAGTAACTCTGGCAATTCTCTGGTCTGCCAAATGAACAACACCTGGATTCAGATGGGGGTGGTGAGCTGGAGCTTTAGCTGCAACCAGCGCCACTTCCCGGGTGTCTACACCAGCACCTCCTACTTCACTGACTGGATGAAGAAGCAGATCGGTGATGTGAGGTTGGTCAGCAGGGCCGGGCCTGCCTGCCTCAGCCCAGTCTTCCTCACTAGCTCCATCCTGCTGATCTCCTTGGGCTGCCTGTGGCTCCTGTGAGTGATGTGTCCTGGGCCGTCCCTCCCAGAAGCAGCTGCTTCCTCCCCTCTGTCTGTGCTGAGGAGAAGTGGAGACTGGAGGAGCACACGGCATCAGGGCAAGTCCATGGCGGAGGGTTCCAGAGCCACTGTTTTTTCAATTGTTCAATGAAGATGTTCTTGAACTTTGTGTCACTGAAGTCATCATCTTTTTTCTTGACTTTGGCCAGAGCCTCCGCACCCCCAAGAGGCCTGGCTGTCTTCTCAAGGGGAGCCTCCCTGATAGCCTTCCTTGTACTTGTACTCATCCTGTTCCCCTCTCTGGGCTACAGTGTCCTCTTCTACCAATATGAAGCTGGACTCTGTGATTCCCCACTCCCTGCTTAGTAATCCCAACACTCCAGCAATCCCCAGGTGCCCATGCTGTCCCCTGGGTCTCTCACCAACAGTTTCCCCTCAGTTCCTTACTATGAGGGTTGTCTTCTTCCCGGGAAACTCAAAATGACCAGACCTGCACTTATGGACTCAGTTCCAGAAGCTGTGGGCCTCTCCCAAGCCCTCATATCACCCTAAGAGTCTACAGAGCTTGACCAGTTTCTCCTCCCTCCCGGGCAGAAATGAGTGATGATGGGGGGCAGGGAGGGGCAAGGCAGAGCGCCTGCTTAGGTGACTGTGGGGGGTGACTGCACCCTAAGCTCCTGAGCTGCCTTAGTGACATCTGTCATACTCTGAAGAGGAAGAACAGGCCCAAGCTAGCCAGACTGAGAGTGCAGAGCCCTACCACCTCTGTGGGAGGTAGCATGGGAGCCCATCAGGCCTGGTGGGCCTCAGGTTCACAGTGGCCAGCTATCCTTGCCCTCGGGCTCCAGGGCATAGTAGGTGTGGTTTGCTGGAGACTGGAGTACTGAATGGCCAGCCCTATTGTCTGTCCCAAGAGAGCAGGCCCTGGCAAAAGTTAAATTGTTCTAAGCTGATTTAACTTTCACCTTTTATTGGGCTAGAATTTCCCAACAGCTTTGAACCAAAACTTCTCATAGGATTTCTCCAGACTACCTTTAACTGTATTATCCATCTGTCCCTGAGTCATCAGAATGTTCCGCGACTTCCAGCGCACCAAGAAGAGCCCCTGGTTACCATCACTCTTTCACTGTCTGTGGAAACCTCACCTGTGCCATCTTTCTTAGCGGATGGATCAGTAAGGGAAGGGCATCTGCTGAATGGAGGTCGAGGGTGGGGGCTGGGGAACAATGCTTAAAACTATGCACTCTTGAAAAATCGTTATTGAAAACATTTCAATCTGCTTAATTTCAGTACCCTGGGGCAAGGCCCCATTGTAGTTACCAGACTGGAGGGCAGATGGGACCGCTTGGAAATCCCGGATGCCAGCCCCAGGGGTGGGCCTTCATCTCACCCGGTAGGGATAGAAGCGGGCTGCCAGAGAAGGAGGTGCAGAAACCGGCCGAGGTGAGGTTAAGGGACTCCAGGAAACTGCTTGGCCAGACCACCTGGGAGCGACGTGCTCCCAGGAGGGCAGAGGCGTGGCCAGAAGCCAGGCAGTCCTGAGCCACCTGCCGCAAGCCAGAGGGCGACGGGGACACCAGAAGCACCATGGCAGGGGGCCACTGGGGGGCGCCCGCGACACCGCGGATGCCGGCGCCCACCACACCACAGAAAGCCGTCACCGGCCGCCGATGGGGGGCGCCTTCGTGGGGCGGGTCCCGGGAGCGCTGTAGCGAGAAGAGCGCCGCGGCGCAGTCGCTGTTCCCCGCAGATGCAGATGGAGCTTTGGTGTGAGCCTCCGGCCGGCAGGCGCGGCCCCTCACCCCCTGGGACGTCTACCCTGGCCCTGGCCCTTGCCTCCGCCAGCCTCCTGCTGCTGCTGCGGCCCCTGGGTGAGGCCCGCCCCCACCCCTCCCCACACCCCCTCAGATCTGGCCGCCACTTCTGATTCTCTGTCTCCTTCCACAGGTTGCTTGGGCGCTGGCGACGCGCTGGGGGCACTGTCCACGGATGTCCCCGACGGCCTGGATGCCCTATGTGCCCCCAGCGCCACCTGTCCCTCGGGCAGACGTCGCTTACCCCGGCAGGTCACTGGTAGTAGCCAGCCGCTCAGTACTGCGCAGTACGCTGCTTCAAAAACCCCCGACAGCGAGTTCGTTCCCCGTGAGTACTGTGGCCTCCATGTGGGAGGAGGCGCCCAAGCAGCCTTGAGGACCTTAAGGGACAGAGAAGAAGGGGCAGGGAGAGTGAGAGCAGACCTTCCTTCCACTAGTGCTTACTGAGCACCTGTTAGTGGGACCTCCCGTGCTGTTGAGGTAGGAGGCGAGGAAGGTCGGGGGATCCTAGGGTGTGCTCTACATCCTGCCTTCCTGAATGGCCAGTGGGGACAGCGTCTCTCCTTCGGGCCCAGGCCCTGATCCAAGATCCCAGCCAAGGCCTCTGGGGGTCTCCAGCACAACTTTCAGGGAGCCTTCCCTTGTGTGTTTGGGGGCACACCCATAAGTGTTCTCTAGCAGTGCCTTCCAAGCCGGTTGACGGAAGACCCACATAAGGAATACTCCTCATCCTGGAACTCATTGCTCAGAATTTCACTGTCGCAGGCAGTCTCACACCGAGGACCCCGCAGCACTCTGCGATGCCTGCTGCCGTCCCTCTCTTGTATTAGCCTTTACAGCTGCTGGTGATGGCCTACTCACATTGATCTCACAATCTACTAGTCCATTTGGAACACCTAGGAGTGGGTCTGCTGTGGTGTTAGATACGTGCCTCTTCAGTTGAAATAATTTTTCCGTAAAATCTTTTCCAAAGTGGCTGCACCCGTTGACCTTCCCTTGAGCAGTGAGTGAGCAGTCTGGGGCTGTGATCCTCACCAACTCCTAGCATCAGGGACATCTAGTTTTGCCTGGCAGGTGGTGGTGAGCAGAACTTCACTGTGATTTAAAGCCACGCTCCCCTGAGGACTAATGGGGCTGAAGAGCTGTGTTCATTTGCTGTTGGGATTTCATCCTCAGATATGTGTGCGTTCATGCACAGTGCTCATTTTTCTCTTAGGTCATCTGCCTTTCTCTCACTGAATCATAGGAGGAGGGTCCTAGAGAAGGAAGGAAGGGTCTTCTTGGCTGAAGTAGGGGAATCAGATGGAAACACAGATGAATTTGTGAAGGGCCTAGCCTAGCCAGAGCCGAGGCCTGCTTGACCAGGACAAAGGAGCCAGTGATATCCAGACTGGTCAGCCCCGGGGCCTGACCTGTGGGACCAGAGAGGGATGCCTTGGGGGTGCTGAGGCTCTTCTAAGGCTGGAGACCCCAATCCTCAAGTGAACAACACCATTATTTGATGACTGATGAAGAAGGAGAATCATTGGATGGGTGCAGGCCAGCTAGAGTGGTGGGAGATCAGGCTGAGGAGAGGGAAAAGGGAAAGGTGCTGTGAGATGTAGCTGGAAGGGTCCACTCTTATCAACTCCTTTCACTTTCCTCCTCAGCCTGTGGATTCTCCTATGAGCGTGACCCCACCCTCAGGGATCCGGAGTCCATGGCTCGGCGGTGGCCATGGATGGTCAGTGTGCGGGCCAATGGCACACACATTTGTGCAGGAACCCTCATTGCCTCCGAGTGGGTGCTGACTGCGGCCCACTGCTTGACCCAGTGAGTCGGGGCCTAGACAGACGGGTGGAAAGTCATGTGGAGCCACGGGGCCTCAGTCATTCTGCCAGCTGGCCCATCAGTGGCAGAATCCCATAATCCCAGCCTCACTCCAGCTCCTAGCAGCGTAGAGCTGAGTCCTGTAGATTCCTTCCTAGGAACTGGAGGCTTGCTCCCCTCATCTGATCCCCTAGTCCTGTGCAGTCATTCCATAGATAGGAAATGAAGACTTGCAAACCACTGTCTACGCCTCCTTCCTCCTGTGCACAGAAAGAAGATTCTAATTCTTCTGTTCCATACTTTTTGTTTCACTTATTCCTTCCTTCATTTAACCAGTAGCCTTGACAGTCTTTGAAGCCAGGCCCTCTGGTAGCTCAGACGGTAAAGCGTCTGCCTACAATACGGGAGACCCAGATTTGATCCCTGGGTTGGGAAGATCCCCTGGAGAAGGAAATGACAACCCACTCCAGTATTCTTACCTGGAAAATCCCATGGACTGAGGATCCTGGTAGGCTACAGTCCATGGGGTCGCAAAGAGTCGGACACGACTGAGCAACTTCACTTTCACTTTCCTGCCCTGGGCACTGGTAGCAGAAGAGGGCTGCAGCACTCCTCTCAGGTTGCTGGGGAAGACAGACAAGAGTATAGCTGCTCACAGTCTGGTCAGTGTGGAGACAAGAGAGCAGGCGTGCCCGTGTTCTGGAGCCAGGGGGCGACCCGAGGGTCCCATCTGGCCGTGAGGGCTGGCCAGAGGAGAAGTGATTTCCACGCCTAAGGGTCACACTGAGGAAGAAAGCTAGACGGAGGGTTGGATGATTGCACAAGATCTCTGTCACTTCTGGGATCCAGCATGGGTCACTGGACAGAGTCTAGAGTTTAGAACCAGAGAAAACTGAGTCCACATCCCAGCTCTACCACTTGCTAGCTGTGTAGCCTTGAGTCGGTTGCTTGAGTCTCAGTTTCCCTCTGCATAAACTGAAGGGTTGTTGTCAGGACTGACCCCACAGTGTGTGTGTGCTCAGGGCCCCATTCACATCCGCCCTGAGGAGTGGGCTTGGGGACTCGAAGCAGGTGGGTGGCTTGCCTGGATTTGCTCAGAGTATAACAGTGCGGTGGAGTTTAGGGGGGTGCAGGCTGGTGTGGGGTTCCTGGGACTAATGGAGGACTCCCCTTGTCCTTCCTCTAGGAGCGACATTACCTTTTCAGTGCGGGTGGGGAGTCCATGGATTGACCAGGTAACGAAGACTACCATCGACACCCTGGCGGAAGAGGTCATCGTGCACAGCCGTTATCGAGCCCATCGGTACTGGTCCTGGATTGGCCGGGCCAACGACATCGCCCTCCTCAACCTTGAGCGGCCCCTGCAGTACAGCAAGTACGTCTGGCCCATCTGCCTGCCTGGCTTGGACTACTCACTGAAGGACTACTCCCTCTGCACCGTGACGGGCTGGGGAGCGCCCCGGGCTGATGGTGAGTCGGCACCTTCCTACTCTCAGCAGGGCGGAGTGTGCGGGAGAGAACCTGGGTGCAGGCCAGGGTCTACCATGGACAGGAATTTCTGAGACCCCTTCCCCAGGGAGCCCACCGCCCCACTCCTGCCAGGCTCGTATCTCTTTTTCCCTTTGAGGGTTTCAGCAGTGAATGTATCTAGGGGACCCAGATTGCCCTTGAAACCCTCAGGCCCAGGTCAGGGTATGGAAACAGGCCTTCCTTGAAGGCATAGTGGGCACAGAGTAATATCTTGCTGTCTGCACACAATCCAGGGTACCCATGTTTTGAAGCAGAACAGGCAAGGTGAGAGGGGAAGGGGTCTATGTAACAGGCTCCCCAGAAGGTCCATGTGTCTGGCTAAGGGCAGTCCGCACCCGGAAGCTGGGAGTCACCGAGGGTTCCCTCATGTCTCCCCCGCTACCCCAGCACTGGCCCTCAATCCCTTATCATCCCAGTTTAGGAGCCCAGCGGGCAGGAGTGCTGTCCCAGGGCCATCCAAGGGCCCAGGAATGTCCGTCCTCTTCAGGGAACCCCTGTCCCTCTCCCACAAGAGAAGTGTTCTTCCCTGTGGTCTCACGGAACCAGCATGCCTGAAAGCGCCCAGGAGCTCCAGCCCGGGTAGGGTGGCTTTGTGTCATCCCTGCCGTGGCCTGTCTCGTGAATAGTTGGGAATGGTTGGAAGCCACCTGTCCCCTGGAAGCTCAGACTTATGGACAGACACACACTTATGAGAGTGGGGAGGGGAGTGAGGAGTGCCTGGGACCACAGAGGCGAGTCTGGGGAAGCTCAGGGGAGGAAGAGGCCTTTGGGGAAAGCTTGAAGAAAAGGCAGGATTCGGACCTCAGATAGACTTGGTAGGCTTTGGGGATAGACAGAATGCAAAAGCCAAGATGCTGAGATCAGAATGGACTTGATGGATTGGACTCTGCCAGCCATGAGATTAGGTCCACCAAGGCCAAATCCTGGGTAAACTGCTCCAGGGTCTCTGTATCAAGTAGCCTTTGGGAAGCGTCAGCTGGAGTGGTAGGTGGGCTAACTCTGGAGAGATCCCCAGGGCTGCTGTGTGGCAAGGAGCCAAGGCTAGAGGAGTGGCAAGGAACAAAGGGAGGACGGACATGAGGCTAGTGGCTGCGGGCGGGAGCTAAGCAGCCAAGCCTGAATGGGGGCCCCTGTCCCACAGGTGAATGGCCCCAATTTCGAACCATCCAGGAGAAGGAAGTCACCATCCTGAACAGCACAGAGTGTGACAGCCTCTACCACAGCTTCTCCAAAATCCCCTCTCTGATTCAGATCATCAACTCCCAGATGATTTGTGCAAAGGACGTCGACAGGCAAAAATTCTGCTACGTGAGCATCTCTCGCCCTTGCTCATTCGCCTCCAAGGGCACTGGCCAGAGTTGGGGTGAGGGGCACAGCAGAGGCAGGACCTGTGGGGAGGAGAGAGGGGCCAGGGATGAGCATGGGCGAGTGAGAAGGAAGAGGAAGGAGGGGAAATTTGAAAGGGAATAGAGATTGCGGGGAATGAGATGAGAGTTGGGGAGGGAGAGATGGGGAGTGGGGATGGAGGTTGGAGATGAGGGAGGAGGATGGGAAGGGTGGGAAGATGGAAGGTGGATATTCAAGAGATGGAGGATGGAGAGAGAGAAAAGGTGGAGTCTTTTAAGGAAGGTCTCCTGGGTCAGGACTTTGAAGGTACCTCTCAGCTATGAAACACTTGGAGACTGTGCAGAAGGTTTGGTGAGGGCACCCTGCTTGTTCCTGAGCTGGATCAAGTCTCCTTTGGACCACATGTGGCCTCCCTTTTGTTCCCCACCCCTCCCCACAGGAGATAAGTGCTGAGCCCTTGGCCTGTCCTGTGCAGAATATATGGCACCTGGTGGGAGTGGTGAGCTGGGGCCCAGGCTGCAAGAAGAACGAGGCTCCACCTATCTACGTCCACATCTCCTCCTACCAACAGTGGATCTGGGACCGCATTAACAGGCAGACTCTGCCAGCCCCATCCCAGGCCCTGCTCCTGGCACTCCTAGTGCTCCTCAGCTTCCTTGCTGCCCTCTGACACTCGTGCTGTCCTTGGGTGTGCCCTCCCTTGCCCAGGCCCCTCCTCACCCTCTTGTCTAGAATGCTGCAGGTGCAGTTCTTAGCCCTCACAGGCAGGGCAGAGACTAGATGTTCAATTAAATGGTTCTCTTCCCCATGTCTCCTCCTTCCTGGGCCTGCTGCAGTGGGAGATGAGAGAACAGGGGTGGATAGGTAGCTCCAGGCAGTTGATATTGCCAAGGGCAGAGTCTCAGCTCCATCCAAAGGCTCAGGGTGGCTCCCGCAGAAGGTGGAGGGAATGTGTGGGGATGATACTGGGGTCAGATGATTTAGGGCTTAGAATGTACTGCCCAGGCTGATGCTGGGGCTGCCAGGACCCAATTTGAGGCTGGGCCTAAGGGTGCAGCTCTGGACCGCGGAGGTGAGTGTGTTCTCCTTGACTTTGGCCCATCTTCTGGCCTGTGGCTGGAAAATACTCTGTCATCGCCCTGAAGAACCGTAGTAAACTTTGACCTTCCAACCCTGTCCACTGCCTGGACTTGGGGCAGATGCTCACTGGGATCAGACATTATCCCCACGATCAGCAGATATGCCTGTCCTTAAATGGCTAGTGGAGACCCAGGTCAGAGGTCAAGGGAGGCAGCTGGTGGGGGAGATACGGCCCGGGCCTGGACTTACCCCAGGCCTTACCAGCTGCTTCTCTGACTCATAGTGGCCCCTGCTCCCCTGGGCCTCTGCTGCCCAGCCAACAGAAGGGCTCTGGCTTGTATTGGCAGAACGGTCTTTGCCAAAACCGTATGTATGAGAAGCCCACAGGCTGGACCCCAGGGCAGACCAGGGTTCCCACTTGGTGGTGCAGTGAGCACTCAGCTTCCAGAGCAGGGCCTTCTGTAATCTCTGCCCTGCCCCCGCCGTGGCCCTAAGAGCTGGTGCTCCTTCCCCCATGTCAGCCTGGTTCCCTCTCCTCGTGTAATAATGATTTAGATCCAGGCTTGACTCCTCTGTGTCTCAGGCACCCATCTATTGACACCAGGAAGTGGAGCAGAGGCAAGCACAGAGCAGGCAGCTTCCTTCTTGGTCCTGGTGCCCTGCCTCAGGGCTGAGCCCCACTGGCCACCGCTGACCCTCTGCCTCTCGGCCCACCACCTCTTCCTTCAGCTCATCAGAATTCAGAACGGGAGAAAAGTCAGGAAAGGGAACGACAGCCTGGCCTCCACCGCCTATCACTGATCACTGCATCGCCCTCTACCTAAATGCTCCAGGGATGGGGTACCTGAGCGGTCATCTCAGGTTGCTCGGGTATGAGAAGGCACTCAGCTTTATTTATAAATCTCTGCAGGCTGCAGAGGCAGTGTGAGCTTTGCCAGCAGCTCCCCACCTCCCGGCTCGGAAACCTCCAGTATCTCCTAAGTCTCCAGGTCCAGGTCTGAGTTCCTCAGGTGATGTTTGCTGCATCTAGATACCCGACTCTGCATGTCCCCTCCCCAGGGGTCCAGTCTGCAGGTCAGGTTTGAGCCTTCACCTTCTGGTCAGCAGTCCTGTTTCAGGCATCGTGGTTGACAGCAGAAGAGGAAGCTGTGCTGTTATATTCAGGAAGTGCAAGGCGGGCTGCTGCCTCCATCCCTAACTGCCCCTGTGGTGGTCTCCTGAGGCCCTGCCACCACAGCTAAGCCTAGAAAGGGCCCCAGGACAGCCTCAAGTCCCCACTGGCTTCTCAAATATTCCCTGGATTCCCAAGTCGGGTCCCAGGTGCCAGCTGTCTTCTCTTCTCTCTCTGGTCCACTGGCCTCAGCCTTTTGCACTCCTGGAGCCCCAAGTCCTGAGCCCTTGGGCCTCATGCTAGGCCCTCCAGCAGCCTCAGCTACATCACAGTAAGTAAGACAAGTGCATCCACTGCCTGGAGCTTGGTATCTGCTGGGCTGGGGATTCTGCCTCTGGTCCTTCTCTGATCACTGCTCTGGGCCAGAACCCATGCCAGGCTTGGGGCAGCCCCTCACCAGCAGGGCTGCTATCCAGTCAAGTCTGAGAGCCTCCTGCTCCCCTGCTTCCTCCAGTGACTCTCTCCCTCCTTGTGGGTGGGAGAGTGTGGCCTCACATTGTCCCATCCAGGCCGGCCATCCCCTACCAGAAGAAAACCCACATCCCATCACCCCTTAGCCACAGCTGTTCCTGGCAGAAGAGGAGACAGAGGCATGTCTGGGTGGGTAGAGGCCACTTTGGATCTACAGAGGGACAAGGGTCTACAGACCACCTCTGCTGAGCGGCCACGTGGACGGGGTGAAAGGAGTTGGCGTCCAGGCCAGGAGGTGGCACATCTGGTACAGTTTTGTCCTTGCTCCTATAGGCTCTAGGACAGGGTCCTGGGCCCCTGCAACTCCCTCTCTACAGGGAGAGGGTTCTCTGCAACCTCTGGGGTCCATGTGTGAGCTTGGAGTCTAAGATGTCTGGACTCTGGCAGGACCATGAGCCCTAGGGCTGGCCAGCCCCAGCCGCCACCTCCAGAAAGCTCTCCTCATTTCTCTCCTTTCTTCTTCTTGGCCTCATTCTTCTCATCCTCCTCTACCTTGATGGCCACTGTATCCACACTGTCCTTCTTCTTCTTCTTCTTCTTATCCTCTGTGGAATAGAAGGAAAAGGGTTCAACAGGAGTGAAACAGCGTCCCAAGACCCACACCAGAGCCTCCCAGTCCAACCCTTCATTCCTTTTTCCTTCCAAACCACTCCTACCTGCAAAACAGCTTCTTGTTTTTCCTGCCTCACCCTGACCCATTTCTTTGCTCTGGTCTCCAGAAACAGGGATGAGTGCCCTCCCTGAACCAGGTAGAGGGGAGGAACAGGGCACTCTGAGTGGAAGGATCAAGGAAATGGCCAGCTTGGCAGGCTTGGGGGTTGGCGGGACTGGGGGCTAGGCCTGCTCACCTCCAGGGATTTCTGTGAGCTCGTTGAGGGGTGGCACAGTCTCCAGTTTGTCCGTGTACATCTTGGCTGCCTTTCGCTGCAGATACCGGGCTTCAATCTCCTTCCGGGTCCGTGGCACACGACAGTTGAAGACACAGCAAAGAGTGATAACTACAGGGAGGACAGAGCAGGCTTGGCAAGGGCCAGAGCTCAGACACCCCAGGAATGGCACCCAAATTCCAGGCCTGTCTCCATCTATCTATGTGGGTCTCGGCCAAGAGTCTCTCTTCAGGGGGTTCCACATTTTGACAAAACCCCTGTGGGCTCTGAGATTTCCCAAATATCTTCTAGCAGGGCTGGCTTTAGGTGGTAGGCCTGCCCTCAGAAAGGCCTTGTGCTTGGTCTGATATTCTGCTGTCACTTTCTTGAAATTCTCAATAATCTTTGGACAGGGATCTCATGTTTTCAGTTTTCACTGGTCTGGTATATTATGTTGGTGGTCCTGGCTCAGGGTGGGGGCGGGTCTTTCTGGCTAGACTGAGAGGTCCTGGAGGGTACAGCCTCCTGGAGGGTGTCCTGTACTTGAAACCCAGGCCTCTGGGCTCCTGGTTCATCCTCGGTTTTCCTCCCCAGGCTCTTGAGAGCACTTCACACCCCAGAGGACAGGCTGCATCTTCCTCAACCTCCCTGAGGACAAGCCGGGGCTCCTCCTTGCTGTGAGAGCCTGCAGGAGGGCACAGACCTTGTCCTGGGGCGTTCACCTCAGACAGAGTTATTCCAGGAGTGGTTTTCTGGCTCAGGGCACAAGCTGGGCCCACGCAAGCTGGGCCAAGGCATGGAGCTGGCCTGTCGGGGCCGGGCAGGGCTGCCAGGACTCGGCTGGACAGAGTTTATTTTTTTAAGGCCCCCACAGTCTGACCACCTTGGCCCCAGCCTCAGGGGGAGGGGACAGAGCTGCTTCCTATTATAAATCAGATGACCAGACATAACTTCCTGGCAGACTCCTAGAGGCAGGAGGGCCAGGCAGGACAAGCCAGGCCTGTTTTTGGGGAAGATAGATCAGAGCTGTGTGGTCTGGGAAGGAGCACCCTTTGGGGTCATCTTGTGCAACCTCATCAGCCAGTATTATGGCCCCATTGAGTCTTCCCCAGACTCACAGAATGAAAGAAAAAGTGAATGAGATGGTTTCAAAGCTTTTGGGACTCAGGACAGGACTCCTGAATGAATGGACAGGGTGTCAATAGCATCCAGGAACACATGGTGGGGGACAGTCGTGTGAGGGCCCTAATAGTAGGCCTGACTGTGCACTGCTGCCCAGGGGTGGACCTGGGAAGACAGTAGGCTTTTCTTACCTAAAGAGCTGGGCTCTGGTCGCCTCCAGACCCCTGAATGCCAGAGGTTCAGGGTTGGTCCCCCACCCCCACCCTGTTGGCTTGAACCACCTCTTCCGGTTACCCCATCAGGTACCTTCTCAGGACCATGCCCGGGCTCTCAGCAAAGGCTGGTCCCAGTCCCTGGGAGACCTGGACTTTGAAGGCAGCACAGCCACAGCTATTGGCAGTCAGAGCAGGATGGAGGTGCTGCCCCTCACTCCGGACCTGTCCCACCCAGCCTGGCCTGCTTGCTTCTCTTCAAAGGAGAAAAACAAAGTTTCTTGGACAGAGTTCCAAGCCCAGGAAGAGGCTGGGGATAGGAGTCCCCAGGCTGGCGGGGAACCAAAGAGGCAGCCCCATCCAACTGCATCCTCTCCACAAGGTTCTGGGGGTGATGCTCCACTAACAGCTGTACCACCGAGGCCCAAGCAGACAGGGAAGTGGGAAAAATGTTTCCTCCCCAGGAGACTGGATCCCCAACTCCTAGAGTCCTGCATAGAAGGTAACAAGTGCTGACCTATTGCTCAGAGGTCTTTGGGACTATCCCTTACCTTTTTCCAGGAAATAGGGTTAGGAATAGAAGTCAGCTTGTGGAGTTGAGGTCCAAGGGCCTCTTTGGGCCTGACACTGCAGCTTTCCTATGTGCCTCTAGGCACTTCCACCGTCTTGGGCCAAACAGAGCCCGGGAGAAGGCATTGTGTGTCTTGAGGCCCCATGTTGCCCTTGACCCGGCTCCTTGGGGTGCCCC